ACTCCGCCGAAGTTTACTTCGCGTGTTTAGAGGGTAAACACGATGATAGCAAATTGAGTGTTTACCTCTCTTTCTTAAGTTGCTTATTTTGTTTTCTTAGTTACTATTTCACTTATTCTTCAGTCACACTTAAGTTACGTATACTTCTTACTAATTACTTCTTCCGCCGCCTCGCGGCCCTTTCGCTTTCTGATTTCAAAATCGCGTTAACATTTTTATATACAAAAGTCAAGAACAAAATTCTACAAACAGAGGCAGGGTTACAAGAAGATTACAAAAGATGGCCAAAGGCCGAAGTCCGATGTCCGCTACACTACTACTCTACTACCTCTTTGTCCTTCCCCTTCTCCGATTGCGCCGCGGTCGGCGCCATCTCCTCCTCCTCTCCTTCTCCATCCTTCTCCGTCTCCTTCTCCTTCTCCTCCACTCCTCTTTCTTCTTCTTCTTCTTCCTCCCTTTCTTCATCACTCTCCTCAATAATCCTTCGCCGCTTCAGCGGTCGCCGCCGCTCGGCAGTCCTCCTCGACGGTCCTGCTGCCACCGGTCCTCCCCCCATACCCATCAAGGACATCCTGGTGTCCATGGAAATGAGCCGCATATGGTCGTCCTCTTGTCTACTCAGCAGCTGACGAAGGTACTGCTGGGTTTTCGAATTCGCCTCTCGTAAGGCCCGGTTATTGGCGAGGAGTTGCGCCATTTGACTCTCAAGGACAGCTAACCGCTCGCCACTCGGGCCCGCTCCTCCTTCCTTCTTCACTACATAGGGACGACCCGAGTACAAGCATCGTACTTTCGAGTTGTGGCAGGGCTTACATATTACACTACTCCCCTTGCCAGCCTGCTTCAGGCAAGGGATCTTCTTCGACCTGCACCGTTCGCAAGGTTCTCGATCTTCTTTGTCCTCATTGTCGTCGTTGCCGTTGTCGCTGTCGTCAGGGTCCTCATCGACGTCCTGAATAGAAACAAGTCAATAGAGAAAATTTATTGTTAGCAGAAAAGGACGTACCAGGGCCTTGGCTTTACCCTTCCCCTTACTCTTCATCTTCGATATCTCCACGACCGGTCTCCTTGGCGAAGCAGAAACATCCCCTGTGGAGGTTCCGCCTTGACTTCTGGCGGTAGCGGCCTCCGCCAACTTCCTCCTTCGTTCGACGACCTCGTCTTCCTGTTCTCGAGCCCGGACGGCCCGATCGCAAGCATCTTGAGCAGCTTGGCGTCTCGCCGCCGCCTTCTTTTTCTTCTCCGCCTCCTCTGCCGCCTTTCTAGCAGCTGCTTCCTCCACTGCCTTCTTCTTAGCAGCCTCCGCTGCCTTTCGCGCCTTCACTCTCTCTACCCTCGCGAGGGCCTCCCTGATGATTTCGTCTTCATTTTTGTCGATAGTGGCGCCAGGACTCGGAGGATCGGCGGGGCGGGACGAGGTACTGGCAGTGGGTTGGGTGGTAGTAGTGGTTCGGCTGGTCGTCATTTTGGTGGACTTAGGGTTTTTGGAAAAGTTAGGGCCTTAGCGGCAAAACCCTGGGCCTTTTATAGGGCAAAACTGCGCACGGACCAGCGAAAATTTTCCTTCGAATTGTGTTGGGTTTACGGTGAACCGAAAATTTTCACTGATGACTAACACCAATTCCCGGTACCAACGTCTTTTGAAAATTTTCCCGCTGACTGATGGGCCAAATTCCCGATGCTGATGGCCTTTAAAAATTTTCTTTGGTGACTAACCAACTCCTGGTATTAATGGCTTTCGAGGGCTCAAGCCTAAGAGGGGGATACTGTCAAGTCCATGCCTCGGGCTTCCATTCCGCCACTCGGTACTCTGAAGATCTACTCTTATTGTAATCTTACTCTTATTGTTCTTTCTCGCTACACATACCCTTTCGTTCTAGTCCCTTCTTATTGTCTTTTACTTTACCCTGCAGGTACTACTCGTATAGCTCCTAGTAGTTGGTCTGGCGCTCCGCACCGATGCGCCACTCCGTAGATATAAATACTGCCTGCACGCTACTGTAGTCCGTCAGTTTAATTATCAACTTAGATCTCCCTTCTCAACTTAACTCTTCTCTAAGTCTTCAGGCTCATTGCCTTGAAGTACTACCTATTATAACCTTAGGACTTAGACGTCCTCTGGTTTGCTCCTCGTCACCGGCGTTACCGCCATTCCGACTTGGCTGCTACTTAGCTCCTCCCTCTATACTCTCGATCTCCGGGGACTAACGGCGTAACGGCGGTGTTGTTAATAACTTCACTACTGTCCCACTCGTCTTCCGCACTTAGACACCTTGTGGCTTTGGCACGGTTACACGGTGTGCATGATCTTAACATCTTCTCAAATTTCCTACTCTTGTTGATTCTGGTTCTACTGACTCTTTCATTGATACTCATTATATTTCTCAAAATTCTGTTCCTACGACCAAAATCTCTCCTGTTAATCTTCATCTCTTCAATGGTTCATTATCTTCTAAACCCATTACCAATATGGCAAACATCGCCGTTCGGTTCCCTTCTGGCGAGTGTTAAGATCATGTACACTGTGTAACCGTGCCGGTCGAATGGGACAGTAGTGAAGTTATTAACAACACCGCCGTTACGCCGTTAGTCCCTGGAGATCGAGAGTATAGAAGAGAGGAGCCAGGAGCAGCCAAGTCGGAGCGGCGGTAACACTGACGACAAGGAGTGAACCAAAGGTTAGAGTAGAGAGTACTTGGAGGCAATGAGCCTGAAGACTGAGTTGGAAAGGAGAATCTAAGTTGATAATTAAACTGAGGCACTACAGTAGCATACAGGCAGTATTTATATCTACGGATCGGCGCATCGGTGCAGAGCGCTAGACTAACTACTAGGAGTTATACGTGTAGTACCTGCAGGGTAAAGTAAAAGACAATAAGAAGGGACTAGAACGAAAGGGTATGTGTAGCGAGAAAGAACAATAAGAGTAGATCTTCGGAGTACCGAGCGGCGGAATAGAAGCCCGAGGCATGGACTTGACAGAGAAGCTATACGTAGTTCGACATGGGGGGTAGCTTCAACGTTACTTAGATTGAGGTCCCGAAGCTTACGAAGTAGCTAGGGAGCTCGGGGAGGTTTGGGGATGGGTAGCTCACCGAAGCATTTAGGCGTTGGGGAGCTTTAGTATCATTCGAGGGAGCTTGGAGACTCACTTGGATGGCTTAGACTCGAAGTAAAAGCGTATATTTGATCATATAGACGATCAGAGAGACAGTAGACGAGAGTAAAGAGAAACAGAGAGTAAAGAGAAATCTGTATGGTTAGCAGGTACAAAGGGACAGGGACTGGACCTATACAAAGGGTGTGTGTTCAAAATATACCAAGCTGGGGCTTGGGGATGTTGCGGAACTACTTAAATAGGTACAGGAAGTGAACAAGGGAACATCAGGGGATCTAGTGAACATGAGGCGGTAATCGAGATTGATACTTAATGGAGTTGCTGTAGGGGGTCCTGTATGCACGCCGGGGAATGTACGCGTGTCAGGGAAGTCATCAGGCACTCAGTGTAAGACCTGGGTCAAAATAGGTCTTAGGGTAGGTTTTGGTATGTGGAGGTTTATGTTGTAGCGTGCTAGGAGCAGGCTGGAGCTCGAAGGGAGCTACGGGAACCGCGACCGAGGACGGGAATGACCTAGTAGTGGCTGGAACGACGGGATGGTGACCCTTGAGGGATTCCTAGGAGGTCCAGGGAGGTCCCTAAGGCGCAGGGAGGTTAAGGAAGAGTGCGGGACCGTACTATATTGCGTAGTAGGAGTTGTACTCGCTAGAATGTCAATATAGGATCGAGTAGGTCGTATGTATAGATGGGTCTCGAGGTGGTAAGCTCCCGAGAAGGGATGTGCCAGGGAGGGTAGGTCCCTGGGGGCTAGGCTTGAGGATGGACGTCCTCGAGTGTGGGAGGTGGTAACGGAGAAGCAGTACGTAGTTCGACGTGAGGGGTAGCTTCGACGTTACCTAGATTGAGGTCCTGAAGCCTATAGAATAGCTAGGGAGCTCGAGGAGGTTTGGGGAGGTTAGCTCACCAAGGCGGTAGGCGTTGGGGAGCTTTAGTATTGTTCGAGGGAGCTCGGGAACTCACTCGGATTGCTTAGACGTAAAGTAAAAGCGTGTATTGGGTCGTATAGACGATCACAGAGACGATAGACAAGAGTTGAGAGAAACAGAGGTAATGAAACAGAGAGTAAAGAGAAATCCGTATGGTTAGCAGGTACAAAGGGACAGGGACTGGACCTATGCAAAAGGGTGTGTGTTCAAAATATACCAAGCTGGGCTTCTGAACGCTCCTGGACTGATTAAATACGTATGGGGAAGTTAACAAGGAGACATGGTATGAAGCGAGCACTTAATGGGGATTCTAAGTACATGAGGATGGAATGATGGACACATGTACGGGGTTCCAGGACCCTGTCGTGGAATGATTCGGTTGAATGGAGGGGAGCTAAGGGTCGCGGAGGTGGTTCTAGCGGTAAGGAGGTCTGTGGGACGTTTGAAGTGTTCTCAGGGATTCATGGAAGGGGTCTGAGGAGATCGGGAGCTATGCTAGGGAGCTTATGGGCTAAGGAATTCGGGGTGAGGCATGACACTCAGGTAACGGAAGCTGTCTTGAGGGTTTACAGAGCTAGATAAGACATATGGGAGCTTCTGGTTGGTGCTGGGACGGGTCTGGTGGCGGTCAGGGCATGGCAGCGTGTCGGTGAAGGACATTTGGGTAGGTATATGGTGGTACTTGGGGAGGTGTAGGGGAGGTGCAGGAGGGAGGTGCAGGAGGTGGATGGAGTGTATGACAACGTGTGGTGGGTACTGGGGCTGGTCTGGTTGTAGGCAGGGCATGACATTACCCCCCTTGTAACCCCTTCACGCCCTCGCGATGGGTAGGCGCGTTTTCTGGGAAGTCACCTGACATTCATGTGGTACCCAAAAATTTTCTTGTTGAAGTCTGTCAGACACCTGCTTCTTCCATCGTCTACCACCTCAGTTCACGAGTCAAACTCCGTACTGTGATGTTTTTTGATCGTCGCTCCACCTCTTGTTTGTCTTCTCCCCTCCTGCCCGCTGTCACTTCCTTGGGGGAGGTAGTTTCTCCTGCTCCTCAGTCAGATGGGGAGGTCGAGCAGGATCAGCTCGCCTTTACTATCAAAGCTCTGTCTCGCCCTCAGTTGCAGCTTTTCGAGACTGTCTTCATCACTGGGAAGTCGCTGTCTGCCTATTGTGAGGACGATCTCTTATGGTCACTCCTGGCGGCAGTAGCTTCTCGTGGACCAATTGTCTGAAAACTCCGAGTAAATGCCAGGTCCCAGCGAATTCTCCCCGTTGCACATCCTTGAAGAAGACTTGTAGTCTCGGCAAGATTCTTCGGTACCGCTACTTCGCTCGTCGGTGTAATCAGGACCTGGCATATAGTCACAGGTTTCTGGAACTCCAAGGGACTCCTGCACAGCATGTTACTTGGGGTATTCCTTTGGACGTTTGGCATCGGTACAACGCGGCCCTCCATGATCGCACTTCATCTACTTCGACTCTTTTAGAGTTGAACATGCTTGATGAGCAGGACGAGGTCGCCGCTGATCAACAGGAGCTCCAGAGGTTCCTCGCACTGCAACAGGACGAGGCCTCTGTTGCAGCCAAACGAAAGCGTGTCCATTCTCCACTGCCTTCTACCAAGAAGGTTCATTTGGAGGCTTCCAAAAAGCGCCCTCATCGTAAGTCCTCTGTGGCAGTGGTGACTCCGGACTCTCCTCTTTGCATCTGATTGGTGGTTCCCCCTGGTCGGTCGGTCGTCGCCTCCCCTTCTGTTCCAGCTGCCCCTCGCGCCTCCCCTTCCCAAATGGAGGTACCTCACAGGGACCTGCCGATGCAGGGTCCCAGTGATCTGGCTCGGTTGGCAGCTGTGGCAGAAGCTCAGTCCAGTTTGGTTCAACAAGCCGTTTCCTCTCCCCCTGTCCGAACACCTATAAAAGGAGCAGGACAGGACCTTCTTTCATCCAACATGCCTCCCACTCCCCGTCCCACTTTGGTACCTTGCACTTACACTGTGCATCCCTATCGTGCTGAAAACCAGCGCCTCGCTGCTCGGGTTCGTTCACTGGAGTCTCAGCTTGCTGACTCGCAATGGGAGAACTCCTCCCTTACCTCTGCTCTTCGGAATACTTCGCATGCTCTCGAATCTTGACAACGGGAAGTGGAGCAGTTACGGTCTTCGAATCGCGAGGTCTGTGAACACAAAGTGGAGTACCGCCATGTGTTGGAGCAATTTCGTGCTCTAGATGAAGCCCTGCCGGGGGCTCCGGGTCGAGTGAGTCCTCCTTTTTCTCTAATTTTCCTTTCTTTATTTGACCTTTTATTCCAGAGTCTCTTAGAACATTTTCAGAAGGTGCAGGAGGACCTCCAAGACGCCACTCGCGAGTGGAAAATCACTGTGGAAAAGTTATCCATGTCAAGCCCATGCCTCGGGCCTCCATTCCGCCGCTCGGCATTCCGAAGATCCACCTTTATTGTAATCTCTTCCTTATTGTTCTTTCTCGCTACACATACCCTTTCACTCTAGTCCCTCTTTATTGTCTTTTACTTTACCCTGCAGGACTACACGTATAACTCCTAGTAGTTAGTCTGGCGCTCCGCCCCACTGCGCCGCTCCGTAGATATAAATACTGCTTGTACGCTACTGTAGTTCCTCAGTTTAATTATCAACTTAGATCAACTTAGATCTCCCTTCTCAACTTAGCTCCTCTCTAAGTCTTCAGGCTCAACGCCTTGAAGTACTCTCTCTACAGCCTTTGGACTTATAAGTTCTTTGGCCCGCTCCTCGTCACCGGCGATACCGCCGCTCCGACTTGGCTGCTTCTCAGTTCCTCCCTTCTCTACTCTCGATCTCCGGGGACTAACGGCGTAACGGCGGTGTTGTTAATAACTTCACTACTGTCCCACTCGTCTTCCGCACTTAGACACCTTGTGGCTTTGGCACGGTTACACGGTGTACATGATCTTAACAGTATAATTAAACTCAATCCGTAACGTCGTACTGACATATCATTTTTTATGCCTCCGAAAACTCGAGCTCAATCCAGAGCTAATTCCGAAGAAAATACTTTCTTCACCACAGCCCAATCTTTCGCCCCTTTCTCCGACTCTATCTCTGCCATCGGTCAACCACGTCGCCGTAATCGCGGTTTCGGTCCAGCCACAGTTCCTACTACGTCGACTCTTCCTGAAGCCATGGAAGAAGAACAACAATTCGAATACAGCACCTTGTACACTGGTGACGGACAACCTGTCCAAGTCCTGACCCCTCGCCGTGGACAACCCCCCGTGGTCGCTCCGGCTCGGGGCCGCTCTACTACTCGAATTGACTCTCCAATCCTCCAAGCTATCGCTCGCCGTACGGGAAAACAACCCCAACGTCGTGCTGCTTCTGAATCTCCTCGTGACCCACCTCCTCACTTCAATTTGGATACCGGTGATCACGATGATCAAGAACCTCCTGTCGACCCCGGTGACCCGGGCGCCGACAACAATCATGACGACCTGGATGACGATTCCGGCGGTTTACCGCGTGGTGAGCCTGGTGACCCCAGTGGACCTGGCGGTCCCGGCGGTCCCGGCGGACCTGGTGGACCTGGTGGACCTCGTTCCTCCAACTCTCCTGACATCCCCAACGAGCAACGTGCTATGTTGGATCTCCTCTCGGGCTTTAAGGTTTCTATGGAAACCCTCGGTACCGTTCTCGCCGCACTCGGCCGTCCCTCTGACAGCTCTGAATCCAAGAGCAAGGTCAAGGAGCCCAAGGTATTCGACGGTTCGGACCCCCGAAAACTTAAAACATTCTTCGTCAATCTCGCCCTGGTCTTTAATGACCATCCCAAGTACTTCACCGACCAACGGAAGGTGAACTACACTCTCTCTTATCTCAGTGGGTCAGCCAAAGAATGGTTTGTCCCTGATATCCTCGATCCGGACCTTGACTCGCTGCCGGCCTGGACGTCGTCCTTCACGGCCCTTGTAAAGGAGCTACAGGACAATTTCGGCGTTTACGATGCCCAAGGCGAGGCCGAGGACGCCCTTGGTAACCTTAAGATGAAGGAAACCGAGAACATCCGGAAATACAACATCCGGTTCAACACCCTGGCTGCTAGTACCAACTGGGATTCTGCCGCCCTGAAATGGGCTTATGGACGAGGCTTGGCTGAACGTATCAAGGACGAAATGGCACGGTTGCCCGAACCGGCGACGCTCGCCGCTTATCGTCTGGAAGTTCTTCGCATTGACAACCGTTACTGGAAGCGCGAAGAAACCAAGAAGCGTGAGGCTGGTAAGCCTTTTATTGCTCGGAACCCGAAGAAGGGTTCCTCGGACTTCAAGACTGGTTCTACTAACCAGCAAAACAATTCTCAGCCTTTGGGCTCTTCGGTGCCGCTCACGCCGAAACCTAAACCCTTCTCTGGTGGTAAGCCTAACAACAATGGTAAGCCCCAGAACTCTTCGAATTCCGGCCAATCCGGCGGTCAGCGCTCCGCGTTCAACCATCTAGGAGCAGATGGTAAAGTACTTCCCTCCGAACGGGAAAGAAGGATGAAGAACAACCTTTGTCTCTTCTGCGGTGGTAAGCATCAGATTGCTGACTGCAACAAGCGAAAGGCCCGAGAATCGAAGGGCCGCGCTGCCGAGGTTGAAGAAACCCCCGAAGCAACCATTGAGGTTGTTGAAGAGGATTCGGAAAACTAATCCGCAGCTCTTGTTCCCCGGTACGAAACGGGAGCTGCGTTGATCAGGTTCGTACCTCACCTGGGGAGTTATATCTCAACGCGTCCGCTCTTTCCTCCATTGAACGTTCTCTTGTAATTTCATTAACTACTGAATTCTCGTTATCCGATTCGGCCGCGCCGGCCGAACCTATCTCTGCTCTTCTTAAATTTCCTACTCTTGTTGATTCTGGTTCTACTGACTCTTTCATCGATACTCGTTATGTTTCACAAAATTCTATCCCTACGACCAAAATCTCTCCTGTTAATCTTCGTCTTTTTGATGGTTCATTATCTTCTAAACCCATTACCGACATGGCGAATATCGCCGTACGGTTCCCTTCCGGCGAGCTGCTTCTCTTACCCTTTTATGTTACACATTTAGATTCATCTTGTAAAGCAGTACTAGGTTACAGTTTCTTATCCCGCTACAATCCGTTGATTGACTGGGCATCTCGAAACATTACGTTCCGTAACACTTCACACTTTGATTCTCCACAGACGTCTGTGCCTTCTGCCATCAACCCCGTTGATGCAAAGGTCGCTGTTCCGCTACCGGAACGTTCGCCGTCGGTTTCACCGACAATTCAGGAGACCCCTCCTGGGGACTCACCTCGCTCTCGCTCTCGCTGCCGCTCTCGGACTTCACGGGCCAAGCCCCTTTCGTCCAAATTCCCCTTTGAACCCATCTATTCTTACCCTACGGTCTCTCAATTCGCTGCTCAACTGGAAAACCCTGAGGTCGACATTGCACTCGTTAGTGCTGCAGTCTTTAACAGGGCTTGCAAGGACGCTGGTATGGAACCTATTCTACTTCGTGCTATCCACTCAGAGGTCGCGGCCCGCGCCGCCGACCGCTCTTCCACCACTCCTACTGTCCCTCCACTCCATCCTTCTATCCCAGAAGAGTACGCCGAGTTTGCAGATGTCTTCGACAAGATTGCTGCAGATTCACTCCCTGAACACAGACCTTACGACCTGAAGATTGACTTGGAAGAAGGCGCTTCGCCGCCTCTCGGCCGTATTTATCCTTTGTCTGAAAAGGAGCTAGTCGCCCTTAAAGACTTTATTGACAAACAGCTGGCTACTGGTGCCATTACCCCATCATCCTCTCCTCACGGCGCTCCGGTCCTTTTTGTCCCGAAGAAAGACGGCAAACTTCGCCTTTGCGTCGATTTCCGTGGACTCAATCGCATCACCAAAAAGGATCGTTACCCACTCCCACTCATATCAGATCTCCTCGACGCTCCGAAAAGAGCTAAAATATACACCAAATTGGATCTCGCTCACGCTTATCATCTAGTCAGAATCGCTGAAGGTGACGAATGGAAGACCACCTTTCGGACCCGCTACGGCTCTTACGAATGGAAGGTCATGCCGTTCGGCCTTACGAACGCCCCTGCGGCCTTCCAGCGGTTTGTTAATGACATCTTCTCTGACATGCTCGATGTTTGTGTCATCGTCTATCTTGACGATATTCTAATCTACTCTGATACGCCAGAAGAACACCGAGAACACGTTAAGGAAGTTCTTCGGCGGTTACGGAAACATCGGCTTTACGCCAACCCCGACAAGTGCGAATTCAATATGGATACTGTTGAGTATTTGGGTTATATTCTTTCTCCCGACGGATTGACTATGTCCAAGGAGAAAGTTCAAACAGTTCTAGAGTGGCCGGTCCCGAGGAAGGTTAAGGACATTCAGTCCTTCTTGGGTTTCGCAAATTTCTATCGTCATTTTATTTATAATTATAGCGATATCGTTGTGCCGATGACTCGGCTTACCCGAAAAGGCGCTCCCTGGATCTGGGACAGCAGCTGTCAAGAGGCCTTCGAAAATCTCAAGACTGCTTTCACTTCTGCGCCGATACTGGCCCATTGGGAGCTGAATCGCCCACTTATCGTGGAAATCGACGCTTCCGATTACGCCATTGCGGCTATTCTTTCCATCCAATATGCTGACGGTGAAATTCATCCTCTAGCCTTCCTTTCCAGAACGCTTCATGCGGCGGAACTCAACTACGATACCCACGACAAAGAGCTACTGGCCATCTTCGAGGCCTTTAAAGCTTGGCGTCACTATCTGGAAGGCTCGGGTGATCCGGTGGACGTCGTCACTGATCACAAGAATCTTGAGTATTTCTCTACTACCAAGGTTCTTACACGCCGACAGGTCCGATGGTCAGAATTTTTACACCAATTTAATATGGTCATTCGCTTCCGGCCGGGGAAACTCGGCGAGAAACCCGACTCGATAACTAGACGCTGGGACGTCTACCCTAAAGAGGGGGATATCGGCTACGCCCAAGTGAACCCTCATAACTTCCGTCCTATATTTACTAACGAACAACTCACTGCGTCTCTTCGAGCTACCTTCTTGGAAGGCCCGGTTTTACGAGCCTCGATTATCATGGATATCGAAGCCCTACACCAAG